TAGAGGTTACGGGGTTTGGTGAACAATACAATACTACTTACGAGGTCGGAGTGAGCATGGAGTTGGACATCTCGGCCGACGTGGACAAGGAAGACCACTTGGAGAGCGTGTGCGCCGAGGACATGCGGCTGCTCCGGCCGCTGCTGCTCCGCGACGAGTTGGGCGCGTTCCTCTGGGACATGACGTTCACGTTGTCCAGCGCGTTCAGGTGGCTCTTGGAGGACGAGCTGCCCCCCACCATGGACCGCGGGCGGCTGGGCAGCGCGCGGTACCCCCGTGACGTGGACGAGGAGGACGGGAGGGCGTGGTTCTGGGAGCCTGAGGGAGGTAATAAGGCGGAGGGGTCGGTGACTAAAGGATAGGGGGCGAGTTTGACGTGCTCGTTCGGGGAAAGGGGGGGAGTGGTTATAATGGCTTCAGGGTCGTGGCAGAAGTTGATGCTTAAGATACATGATGTTTTGTTTCAGTAGAGTCTAGGTCTTACGGCGCTCGCAACAGATACATGATGTATTGAACTATGGTTCAACTACATAACTCGCACGTGATATTCCCAAATGTAGATTTGGCTATGATAAAGGTTGATCAATGAGATAACGCTGTAGCCCTGTACTCACGGCATCAGCAGTCATAATCTTAGCTTTAGTTTTAGGGCGAGTTTTACGGCACTTGCATCACAATTAGTTCATTTAAGTGCCCGAGAGAAGAGGTATTACTAAAGAGTAATATATAGAAAGACAAGAATTGGAGATACAGGTGGTAAATGCTTGATAAGAACGACGAAACAAACCACACCAGATCGCCCGCCAACCACCCACAGTAAAAATGTACTTTTACTTCCACTAAGACTAAGAGATGAAGAATGTGAACACCAGGAGGTTTCCAGGTGAATAAGAAATTAATCGTCATTGGTCTTTGTATAGGTTTGAAGCCCCTTTCAACATTGAAAGTTTCTTTAAGAACAAAGACCTCGGTATGGTACGTCCATTCCCGATGGCACAACGCCGAATGGGAAGAGACCTTAAAAACGCCCCTAACAACGCACGTTTAGAACACCCTGTTGGGGCTTTGAATCAAGGTCATCCGTTGTGTCGTGGTGCAACTTTAAGAAGTTGAACAAACGAGCCACCATTACTGGCAAAAGTGTGAGCAGGAAAAGCTACCCCCCCCCCTCCAAAAAAAAAACCAACAAAAAAATCCCAAACACATCCATTTTTATACCTTTTTAATTTTTTTAACCCACATTTTAAAAGAGCATTTTTAAAATCCATCTATTCCTTCCGGGGATTTCAATGTAACATTACATGTGTTTTTTCCAACTGATACAGAGTGTTCTCAGATGGGGAATGACATGATTTTTTTAACTTACAAAGTTTGCAGCATTTAAAGAGAATACAAACATTTCGTAAGTAGGTCTATTGGCCATGCAAGCATATATGTAAATACCAGTATCAACTCTGCCAAGACCCTGGCCTGTAAAATAAACAAGCAATTAACAGCTAATATAAGTCAGCACATAAATGTTATCTTTCATTTAAGGAGAAAAAAAAAGATCTACCGATGAATAATACTGCCGATACATGTTCACCAATAACAAAATGCTACTTCCCGCTTAAAACGTTTACCGTTGTTATCTCGATAAGTGTGATTGCCTTGAGTACGTAAATGAATGCAACACAACAAATGGAATCTCCCACTAGAATGAATTACTACATGTTATAGAGCTGTGTTTGGAGGCTTGAGCGGTAGTTCTCATTTTTGCAAGTCAGTCTGATAAAAGTAAACCCTTGCCAATGTGGAAAGGGGTGCATACTTTGTGGGCCAGTTTACGTAATATCCGCTCCCTTTTGGACCAGTTATGGCCTTTATAAAACCCAGAATTCTGTTGGGATCAACGACGGAACTAAACGAAGTATATTACTCACTGTTTCTGACTAAAATAGCGTCGACGTGTAAAGGACAAAACAAACCGAGGACAAAAAAAACCCTGAAAAAACCCCCCACCAAACGAACAATCTTTAAACAAACAAAAAACTGGAACGGAAGTAAACTGTTTCACTCACTGATCTCAACAGAGCCGAGCCGGCGTATGACGTCAGCCATGGCGGACTTGAGGCAGACGATCTCATCCTCCTGCTGCTGCACCTTCTTCTCTAGGTAGGCCACTCGCTCCACCACGTCTTCCTTGTCGTGGCTCAGCAGGCCGTCTGGGGAAAAATTGTGAAATGGTATAGATTTTACGCCTCTATCAACACTATTATTTTACATTTAGTAGAGGTGTTATGGTGCTCGCAACTGCATAAGGTCATATGGGCGCCAATCAACACTATTAGGTTATTGACGAGGCAGGGCCTCCGATTTATTTATTTTTGTAAGATTTTTTTTTCGTAACAGTTTTACGGCACTTGGAACACAATAAGGTCATATAAGAGCTGAAGATTAGTTTAGATTTAGTAGAGGTTTTACGGCACTCGCAACTGCATAAGGTCATATGAGCGCCAGAAGATTAGAGGTGTTGCAAGAGAGTAACAAACATAAAAAAGAAGAAGGGGAGATAAGGACGATAGATGTTTCATAGGAAAGAAGGAGCAAACCACACTAGAGCACCCGCCAACCACCCACTTGTAAGAGTTTTACGGCACTTGCAACACAATAAGGTCATATAAGTGCTAAGATTAGAGGTGTTACAGGAGAGTAGCATACCGCACACAAAAAAAGAAGAAGGATTGATAGAGACAATAGATTTTTTTATAGGAAAGAAGGAGCAAGCCACACCAGAGCACCCGCCAACCACCCACGCCTCCGAGTTTAACGTCTATCCCCGAAAGGACTGAGCCAAATGGGAAATTTGTGTAAAGTGCCTTTCCATAGAACACAACGAGGCTCGAACCTCCGAACCCGAGGTTGTCTGGGGAGACACACACACAAACACAACACGCCATGAACGTTCGATTTTTAATTTCGCTTTGTTTGAGCTTTTGAATTTGTTTCGTTTTAGTAACAGTTTTGCGGCACTGTCGTAGCAACCCAAAAGGTCATAAGTGCGGAAGATTAAAGGTGTTACTTAGCAGTAACATACCCAAAAAAATATAAAGAAAGAAAGAAAGAAAAGAAAAGAAATAAATAAAAGAAAAAAAGAAAAAATAAGGAGGCATAAGTTTAGTAGTTTATTTAGTTTCGGAAATAGATCTAGTTTTATCACACTTGCAATGCGAATGGGCCATATAAGTGCAGAAGATTAAATGTACGACTTGAGAGTAAAATGCTGTTTTGTTTGTTTTGGTAAGTGATTTACAGCGCTCGGAACTGTATAATGTCACATGAGCGCGTGGCAAACAAACATTTAGCATTTTCAGTTTGGTAGGAATTAATTTTGAATTTTGATAGGGTGGGGGCCGAAGCCTACTCCTGTCGATTTTGAACCACAAAGGGATCTTTGAAGTGCGCAACTCGCACAGGAGACGTCCGAGATTTTTCGTCCTTATCTGGGAAGACAAGGTGTTAGATCTTACCTACCCTAAGAAATGTTCGGTTTTGAGTTTTGCTATGTTTAAGTTCTTGAGTTTTGATTCGTTTTAGTTTTACGACACTTGCAATGCGAATGGCTCATATGAGTGCCGAAGATTAGATGTGTGACTACAGAGTATCATGCAAAGATAAGGAGGCGACATAAGTTGAGTTTCGGTAAGCGTTTTACGGCACTTGCAACTGAAATCGGTCCCATAAGTGCCGAAGATCAGAGATGCTACTTGAAAGTAACATACAAAGTTTGTATGTTTGTTTGTATGCTTGAGAAAGGAGAACCACATCGACATAATAATGGCCATTTAGTGCTAGTAAAAAGTAAGATAACCAGACAGAAACAATAGAGGGAAAGTAATTAAATAGGACCCACCAGTAGCACCCTCCAACCACCCACTAACATACTGGGGAAAAAAATAAAGAGTAGGTTTAATTTTAGTTAGAGTTTTTGATACTTTTAACACAAATGGGTCATACAAGTGCTGAAGATAAGATGTGTTACTGCAGAGTAACATACAAAAGAAAAGAACAAGGATACATAAGTTTTGTTTTGTTTTGGTACGATTTTAACGACACTTGAAATACAAATTGGATAAGTGCCGTAGATACGAGGTATTACAAGAGGGTGATATACAAAGTTAAGAAGGATGAGAGCTTTAGTATTGTTTTATCCATTTCCGATAGAACCGAGCCAAATGGGTGGAGAGCCTCAAACACTCCCAAAAGCAAACCAAGTTCAAAGCGCCCACTTCGGGATTAGAACCAGGGCCATCCGCTTCGAAGGCCAGCATGATGTCAACTGAGCTAACGGTGCGCACTAAACAAGAGAGAAAGAAACGGAAAACCTACCAGCGGTACATTTAATAGCTCACATTTTGCATTTTCTTGATTTAGGAGTTTAATCACACCCTACTAAACATGCCATGTCTCTTTGGTGCACGAAGCTGGCGAAAGAAGGCTATTGGTGTTGTTTTTGTCGATACTTCTTTTGACTGTTGACTTTGCTGTTGTTGTTGTTGTTGTTGTTGTTGTTGTCGTTGTCGTTGTCGTTGTCGTCGTCGTCGTCGTCGTCGTCGTCGTCGTCGTTGTTGTTGTAGTCGCTGTTTTGTTGTTGAAGGTTCATATTATATATTATGCTTCGATGACATCACGACTTTGATAGTGGCAATCTCCAAGACTACCAACAAACCTGGACACCCCCCCCCCCGGGGCCCCCATCTTTTCGGTGAAATCTATGGTCGAAAAACCCATCTGCCAACAACAACTAAGGGGACATATATAGTATTTTAAAACCATGCTTTCTGGCCAACATGAAAATACATAAAACGTGCACGGGCAAGAATGCAAGCTCAGACAGGCAGGCAGGCAGGC